CACATTTTACACTGTAACCTAGGACAGTGAGATTCTAGTACAAGAACTGAGGATGGAGAGAAAGTTTCCTTTCCATGCAAAATCCATTTTCAGTCAGCATTTGTAGAAGGCATTTTAATTTTGTCTGGTTTACATATCTAGGCTTAAACTGTTTGTGAAACTGTTAAAATACATAGTGTTTAAAAATCATAAGCCATAGAACCAGCATTACACATTTCTGGTATAGGTTAAACAAGCATCTGAGGTATTTCAGATGTTCTTCTGGTTTTGAGTATAGCTTCTTCTCACTACAGTGGTTGGAGAATAACAATTTTTGTGTGGTATGAGGAAAGTTTCTTTGCAGAATATGTTTCATTCATGGTAGGTTTACTATAGAGACATTTTTTTGTGATGCTTTCTAAAATGTGAAGGTAATATCAAGGTTCTTTTTGTTGATATTTTTTAAAACTACATGACAAAGCATCCTCTAATGAAATATTATTTTGTAACTCCATGTAAATAAGCAGCTGAAATTTGTAGAATTTCATAACCTTCAGACCAAAACTATCTTCTTTTGAGGGACTGATGCAAGATACCTTACTCTGATTTAAAATTAACCCTGCTGAATAGAGCCATAATGATTTTAAGAACTGATACATATAAAACTGGCCACTTTCGTCCTTATCTTACAAGATGTTGTATTTTACAATGTGGATGAGTATTTCCTTCAGATAAGATCACTGTGTTTTTTAATAACAGACAGTGAAGCTGTCTGAGGTATGATGTTACTTATATGCTAGTTTTCTAAATAATTAGAAATCAAAACTCATTCTTGACTTCAAAACCATTAGAAGTCTAGTATGTGTGATTCATGTTTAGTTGCTGGCTTTAGAAGGAAATTAAAATTATGGATGTTTATAGTCATAATAGGTCCATAGCACTTTTGTTCTCCTATGAGATAATTATTTCAACTTAATATTCTTGCCTTTTCCTATTCACTGGTAACTGCACATAGTTTGAAAGTAAATTAGTAATCTGTATTAAGAAACCCGAGACTGATTTGTTGTTTGTTTCTTTCTTTTTTTTTTTATCCCCAGTTTGTTGCTCAGTCTAACTGCCAGCAGTTTCTAAACACTGTATGGTTTGGACAGATGGCAGGCTATCGACGGAAGCACACATGCAAGAAAATTTTGACTGTTTTGATGGTTGGCATTTTCTGGCCGGTTTTGTCCTTATGTTACTTGTTAGCCCCTAAATCTCGAGTAGGTCGAATAATTCATACTCCTTTTATGAAGTTTATTATTCATGGAGCTTCATATTTCACGTTTCTGTTGCTACTTAATTTGTATTCCCTTGTCTACAATGAGAATAAGAAGAATACAATGGGACCAGCCCTTGAAAGAATAGACTATCTTCTGATAATATGGCTAATTGGTAGGTATGATTTAGGTAGATGGAATGACAATTGCTGATGTTGATTGAACAATAATGATTTATACTGCCTTCTTTTGAAATTAGCATGTCGTTCATTGCTTGACCAAAGTTTACTCCTTAGAGAACAGCATTACAGGTGAGAAAAAAACAAAACAAAAACCAAACAAACCCGTGTTTTGAGGAAGAGATGTGAAGTGTTAGAATAATCTCTAGTTGTCACACACAGTGAAGTATCAGAAACAGAAAGTTGTAGGATCAAACAGAGGAGGAATGTGAATTTTTCTTCAGAAGGACTGGTAGCATTCAGAGTGATGCAAGTGAGATTCAGTTGTGCAGTAACAAATTAATGTAAAAGCTATGTATCTTCCTAGACACTTTTAAATTCTGTTCTTAAAAAACAAACAAAAAAAAAAACCCTGAAGGCAAAGCTAGTGTGTGTTCCTCAGGTTAATAGTTTAATAGTTTTGTAACAGATAAGAGCCTGTCATCGACTAGTTTTTCTTGGTGCTAAGTTGAGGAATAAAATTAATTCAGACATCACTTCAGAGGTTTTTTTTCCAATCTTTTTTCATGAATAGGTACTAGTAGTACATTTAGTAGTAGGTGGTTTAATCATTGTGAGTCAAACTTGTTTTGTTTTTTCATCAGCTGGCAATCCATGAAACTTTTAATTTCTTCCAGCTCTCTTTTGCAGGAAGTGCTTTTAGATACATGGTTTAACTTTTAGGTTGCCCTGTGTGGAGTCAGTAGTTGCACTTGATGATCTGTCTTTGCTGTACTTTTTTCCATCTCCATGTTATTGTCACTGATTACCATAACTGAACATGAAAGGATGCATGTTAATTCTGGTTGATGCAGTAGAGGGAGCACAGGTATAATTTTTATTGAGTGCTCATTAACTTTTGTTTTGGTTGGAAATTCATAAAACCTTTTAATGTGTTTTTAATGATTGGTATATTTTTGGTTTTACATTAAAATTTGGTAGATAAATTCATGGAAAATTATACCTTAATATAAGGTAATTAGATGTCTATCATTTGGTTTACTGGACTTCTGAAAAACAGTCATGTAGTTGAAAATACAACATTTTTTATCAAAGTAGTTGTGGGTGGTTTATTTGTTATTTTAGGGTGGGTTTTTTGTAATGGTGATTCCTTTCATTGTTTAGCTATATTAAAACTGTTGAGTACTTCATGCAGATTCTGGAAATACCTAGTACCCCACAGAAAAATGCATGCAGGTCTTAAAAGAAACTTGAAACCTTGAAATATGGAGTACAAGTGGGTCTTACAGACTCCTCCTTTGTTTTGAGATTCAATATCTAATTTTAGAAATTCTTCTGTTCCATCAAATCTAATGTAGGCAGAAAGTGTGTCATTAGGTGGTCTTGAAAATTTTAATGAAAGGCCATAGAAACATTTTATTTTCTTCATGTAGTACTTCAACATGAGGATTTCAGTGAGAATTAAAAAATTACCTATAAGTAACATATATCATTAACATTGGTTACTTTGCACATTATTGAGTCTTAAATTTTTTAAATGGTAATTGCATTTATAGCTTGAATGCCTATTTGCAATCACATATTGTACCATTTTCTTACAAATATTCATTAAGTCGAAAAGAATGTATTTGGAAAATGTGTGACAAAATCAACTGGAATAAAAAGAACCAAGCAACAATAATCAGTATTGTCTTCCACAGTCCCATTAAAATACTTTCTAAAAATCAGTGTCAAAATGGCCACAGCAGAATTTCTTACACTTAAAGTTAGCAGCTAGTTTTGTGTTCTACTAGATTAACTTTCAAAGTCATGAATACAGTAATTATCTTTTTCCAAGTTATTGAGCCTAAATCATACAAGTGTCTTCCCCAGAAAAATAAAACAAGAGAACTCAAAATCTTGCGTGTGTAAATAACATCCATTATAGCATCTTCTCCAACTCCTTTTACCGATTCTGTGACAAATTTAGTGTAAAATACATGGCGATCAATATGGAGAGGCACAGAGGTTCTGGTTTAGAAATACTTTCTTTATAGCCAGGAAGAGAGATTTATGTAAGTCTTTTAATGAACTGTGCATAGCACACGTTTTATTATGCCTTCCAACATTGCTGTAAAGCTGACTCAACAAATAAAGTCATGCATAAGTTTATGATTGTCTTTTTTTTTTTTCCTTTCACTGGATCTTGCTCTTACTGGGCCAAAGTTTTAGAGAAGTTGCAACATCCTAAAAACTGAACCAATTCTTAACACTTTTTGCTTTACATTTATACACATGCTGCTTTTCTTCTTGTCCTAAATAGAATAGTATACATCTGAAGTACTCCAAAAAAAAAAAAAAAAAAAAAAAAGTTACTGATTATTCCTAGAAATCAAAGGTGCCATTATATTTCATCTAATGGTCCTTTCAAATTTTATAAAAAAGTCAAGTTGGTAGAATTCTTAGCAACTGTTTTTTTCCGTAGAGCCAGACATGGTTAACAATGGTAAAATTCATTTTGCTATTAAGAGTCTGAACATTTAAATGTATGTTGCTCTCAGTTAAACTTCTAATTTTTGCAGTCTTAAGTCGTGGTCTCTTTTCTCTGCTCATGTTATTTAGTATCAGTTAGGGTAGGAAAAGTTTTTACTGTTTGGATCTTTTCAGTAACAGTTACTGAGCTGACTATTCTTAAAAAATGTTTTATAATACCTACACGCTTCCAAAAATACTTGGTACTTTATATAGTGATGTAATGCTTTCTATAGTGCTTTTGGAAAAAGGTGAATACTTTTTATCCAGAAAAAGCATTTTTGTTCTAGTCCTCTATTTTATTTAAATTCGACCTTTTTCCTCTTCAATTTTTCTCTTATTCATTTCCTCTCATGCCCCTTTTTATTAGAGAATGTCTGTCTTAATTGGAAAGTAGGCCTGAAAAGGTTAAACATCTTGTTGCCTTACTATTAATGCTTGTAATCCAGTGCAATACTTTTAGAAAATTTACTTGATTACTCTGCTTCTTTCTCTTTGCTAAAATATCATTTACAAAATTCAGTCAAAAGTGCTTTAGTTGTAAAAGAATTATCTACTCAATGCAATGGCTTGACTTTCCTGGCTTTTTTTTTTTTTTTTTTTCCCTGCAGGAATGGTGTGGTCAGATGTTAAAAGACTCTGGTATGATGGTTTAGAAGACTTTTTAGAAGAATCCCGTAATCAGCTTAGTTTTGTCATGAATTCCCTGTATTTGGCAACTTTTGCTCTCAAAGTAGTTGCCCATAACAAGGTGAGCACCTGTCTTTGTAGATCCAAAGCTCCTCTGGTACTGACTGGGCAAATACAATTTTTGTACATTGCTGGAAAATATGTGAAGATATGTTACATGTGGTATGTTAGCAGTAGTATGTTGTAGTTAGTGGACTATTACTAATGTAGTACACTTATGTGGATACAGTTTAGGCTTCCAAGTTAAGTGTTCTATGTAGTATATGCCATGTAGTTGTCAAGATCTTTGGTCTTGTTGCACCTTGAGCTTGAAAGAGAAGTTGGCAAGGCAAATGGGAGTTAGAAAAAACATCAAGACATGTCTAAGTACTCAGGGACCCCAAACAGAGCTACTGTGTTCCTTGTAAGAACTGGCTGGTCTTCCAAAGGGCTTGATTTTCATTTGGGGAAATCTCCCTGTACAGCTCATCTGATTTTGCATTTGAGCTCACCTGATTCCATAGATCAGTACTATGCTGAAAGCTAATGGTAATCTCTGTGTTTAGATTGCCTAAAGCTTTTTTGTTACAGAAAGTTTTATTTTAGATTTTGATTACATATACTCAAATGTCATAGGTGGTTGGTGGGGGGGGGGTTGAATCGTTTTTGGTTTTGTGGGGCGGGGATTTTTTTTTGTATGTTTGCTTGGTTGTTTTTTTTATTAAGGAAGAAAGCCCTGAGCCCATTGAGGAGCCTTTTTTCTTTGAAAAGCCATCTGGATTTGCTTGATGATACAAGTTTTGAAAATTATTATTCCCATTCTTTTGCATGTGGTGTTAGCTGCACAACATATGGCAAGCTGCCAGACCAACTGAATATGAATATTTTAACAAAATTCAAGCCAGTGCAGTAGCACCATTATTTTGTATTGCAAACTGTGAGTTGACAGCTGTCTGGCAGTTGGGAGGGAAATAAACTGGTTCAGTTTTTCCCAACTTGGTGTTTGGCTCGTTTCCCTATCCTTGCTTTGATTCAGAGGCTGGTAATCATTTGGAAAGGAAAGGTCCATTTCTTGGAAAAAACAGAGAGAGAATGCCATGTTGGGCTGCCTTCCCAGCCATTTGCTTTGCAACGAGCACATGTCTGTAGCAGTAGTTCCTTCACTGAGATAAGAGCCCTTTCCTACTAATTTAAGTTGTAACCTTTTTGAAGATGCAGAACTCCTGTCCTGTGTAACAGGCACATGATGCCTTTTTTGCCACTTCTATACTGCAAAATTGATAGTTTATAAATTATTTAGAAAACAAAATAAAAATGCTTGGTTTACACCTTAAGTCCGTATCATAGGCACTGAAGCTGTAAGAAATAAAGGAAGAGTCTCTGTAGCAGAAAGATTTGTACACATGCAATTGCAATGCATGAAGACATATTTATCCCTGTTTCTCACTCTCTTTGTGCAGCACACTTTTGGGCAAGTTATTTTAAAGCAGTTTTGAGTTCCTTAGTTTTTGAACATCCATTTTGAGACAGCAGAAGCTGGTAATATAAATGCAGAATGTTTTCAGCCAAGCCAAAAGTTAGTGATCTGTGGCTATTCCATGAATAGTTGAATAGTATCTAGTGGATATACTTTAAGGGTGTGTTTACACCAACAGTTTGTGACTTCCATTCTCTGTAGTCATTCATAAAATCCACTGAAGAAACCCTAGGTCCTAAGTCTTTCTAAATCTTTCTAGAACTGCTTAAGACCAGCTAGCACCACATTGCAATTGCCTGTGTACGTTAGTTTTCTTTGTAGCATTTTAATGTTGTTTTTGACTGAGGGCTGTACACTAGACAACGCACATGTTTATAAAGTACACGAGTCCCTGTTTCAACAAACCATGCAAAACAGAGTAGAAGGGAAAGCAGGACAGAGGAATAAATGTTTTGCTGAGCAAATGAGTGGCAGAGTTGAGTGTTGAATTTAAATCATCTGATTTCTGGCTTTTAAAATGTCTTTATCTAAGAAGAGGGAGATACCTGAAAGACGTTAGCTATCTATGAATTGTATGCGTTAATTTCTTGTATGCTATTGTCTGTTCTGGAGACAGAATTAGGGAGCAGTGCATGGGTACATTTCTGTATTTGTAATGTCAGTGATCTCAGTTTGTCCTTTTTATATTGCAGTTTCATGATTATGCTGAAAGGAAGGACTGGGATGCATTCCATCCTACCCTAGTGGCAGAAGGTCTTTTTGCTTTTGCTAATGTTCTTAGTTATCTGCGTCTCTTCTTCATGTACACAACCAGCTCTATTCTGGGACCACTCCAGGTGAGTATCACTACTGCTTGAGAAAAATATTAAACTTGATTTTAATTGGCTATGAAAAGTCTTATTGAAAAGAGAAAAAGAAGAAATTAAAATAAGAAAATCAGAAAGTAAAAAGTAGAAAGAAGTGATAACTGCATTGAAGTTTTTTTAATCTCTCATGTAAAACATATTGATTTAGATGGGAAAAGGTAAGAAAAAGAAGACCTGGTGTAGTTCACTTTGTTACAATGTCTTTTCCTTGATAACTGTACCTATACTGTGGTTTTGTTTTCATCTGTTGCTAGCTTAAGCATACGTGTCTGCAGCATGTATGTACAGCATATGTGTCTGCAGTTTGAAAACTGTAAGGATCAGGTTCTTCCTATAAAGTTCTGTGCAAATGATTTCTTATCTTTAAAAGATAGATGAATGAGATGTGTAGCAAGGAAGAGTAATCCAAAGCCTTTCTGTGGATGTCTATGATCTCTCTGAAGTTGCTTGTTGAGTTGAATTGTGCAGATTGCTTTGGTTTGAAAAATATAAATCTCTCAAGAGCATTGACATGGTCATCTATTTGTAGCCAGTTGTAAGTAAGGAGAACAGGTTTCTTGTTACTTGGAATTTGCTGGAGTCTTCCAGTGAGTAATAATGACAGAAAAGCCCCACATTTTAATTATGTAATACATTTAATTCAGTCATCAAGAGATGGGGAGGGAAGCATTAACAGTCTTGTGCTGTGATGCTGGAACAGTAGTCCACAGCAGTTTCTAAGCTAAATTCAAATTTTTAACTTAAAGTTGAAATTTAGCCTGCTTTTGTGCAAAGAATTGAATTTTATTTTCCTGATTTGAGAGCAGACATGGAGTTTTCTACTGAGCTTATGCCGTGTACTGTTGGTTTGTTAGTTTTTTTAAGCACAGACCCTCTCACTTAGTCTTGGTGCTATTCATCATGGTAAACTTTAGATAAACTGTGGACCCAAGAGTGCAATATGACCGTATACAGAAGGTCTAGTACCTTTGGGGATAGGGGAAGGAACCTGGACTATTATTATGACATCAAATTCAGGATGCAATTACCTCCCTTAATCCTTTTTAGATAAAAAAGAGGAAGAAAGCTTCCTCCTAAAGGTACTGAGAGTGGAAGTCACCTCTTATTCCACTAGCAACATTTTTTTCCCTTCTGCAGTTTTTCTGTTCAGCTTGAGTCCTCAGCACTGACTGATTTTGTTACTTTGCCAGTGAAAAGCACTTACAAACTAAAGCATCTGTTATTAAAAGCATAGCTTACTGAAAAAAGCTTTGCATAGGTACGCTTCCAGCTTCTCTGGCCCCACTTCCTGAGGGATTTATGGTGACAAATCAGATCAGACAAGTCACTGCTTTCTTGTACCGATGATTTCCCCCTCTATTTATTTATTTATTTTTCCCCGATGGTGATAGGATGTAGTTAATATAGCTGGCTGTCAACATTGTCACTGGGTTTGCAAGTGTCTGTTGACTAAAAAGACACTTGGAATAAATAGGATAGTCATCCAGTGATTATACTGATGGAATCTGTCAATAGGTCAAATCAATGTTTTGTCCTCTCTTCTAATGAACAGGACTAGTTTTGAGAGCTTTGTGGCAAGAAGATGATCTGAAAGTATCCTGCAAGAAACATTATGGCTGTTAAGCATAAAGGCAGACTCAATATTTGGGTGCAGTGGTTTTTTTTAACCCTCGCTTTGCAGCTAGAGCTATACCAAAGGAGGTTCTGAAGTAAATAATTTTGGCTCAGATCAGTAGGTCTTGTATCAAGGCTTTAGAATCTAGCTGAAAACCTCCAGCTTGAATGTTTAGCTCATTTTAATGAGTTAGAGTACTTAATCTTGCTGCACAAATAACTATCTTTTAGAATATTTTTGTTTCACATGGAATAGTCCTTCTTTGACAAGAAAAAGAAAAACAATTGCTTGTTAAATTGCTTTTTAAAATCATCATAGAAAATGCTTTAAAAAGAATGTTCATAGTTCCTGTAACCAGTTTAATATTATTGGAAGATGCCTGTTTCTCCTCTCAGGGTTTTATTTGTTTTACTTCTTGCCCTTTTCTCTCTAGCTGTGACTATGTTGCTGTTAATTATTGTTATATTTTTTTATACATTTTTACATGGAAATGTACTTGCATCCTAGTGTCTTGATGTTGCAGTAAGCATTAGGCTTGTTATACAAATTGATTGAATGCTGAAGTCGCTCCATATTTTAAAGAGATTCACTGTTTATTGTGCATATTTATTTATGTACTAGATATTTCACAAGTTTTTTATTAGGAGCCTATGTTATGAAATTTTCTAAGTAAATAAAAACAGTCAACAGTCACCCCATTCAGTGGCACACTGAAGCTTATGTTATTAGTGTTGGCCAGTACAGCTTGTGCAACAACTCTTACAGTATTTTCTGAAAGTAGGTCACAAAGTTCAAATGGTGGTAATCAAATATGGCATGGAAACCCAACAGGGGCAGGGAGCGGGGGGAGGCAGCTACTATGTTCTCTTGGCTCTTAGAGTTATTTTTAAGCATTCAGTTATTTTACTTATTGATTAATACAGCCTACGTTAATACAGATTTTTAAGTTGGTGGTGCATGGTGGTTTTTTATTATTAACAGAAGATAGCATAATATTCCCCTAGATTAGATGGTTAGATTTCAAATGTTTAGAAATTCTAAATACTTTGAAAGGAATAGCATGACACTATGAAGAAAGCAACTGGTATTTGGGCTGTGTTACTACACTCTATTCCAACCAAAATAGTTTTGGGTGGTTTGAACTTGTTGTGCATTCCTGTTTCATCTACTTTGTCTCTCTCTCTTGCCTGCGACCATGTGTCTGTTAAAGGGTAAATGTTTTGTTGTTGGGTTTTTGGTTTTTTTCTTCAAAGGGTTGGACATGATGAAACAGTATGATGGGGATTACATTCATCCTCTGACCAAATGATATAATTACTGCATAGCTTTGCCTACAGTTGCAGATTCTCCATGACCGTGGCAAACGGTGCAAAGAGTCAGAGACAATCTGCTGTGCAGCAGGTCTACTCAGTGAGTTTCCTGCAGCATGGGAGGGAGCAGGAGCTGGCACTTTATCTTCCAGTAGACTTGACTTGCAAAACCTGACCATGATAACCTGACCATGATAACAATTCTGGACTGTGATTTGGTACAGACTGTGTGATTCAGGCTTTTCACACACTGATTTATATAGAAGATTAGACTTACCCAACCCCATTTTATATATTTGCATTCTTTGTAATAGTATATTGTTCTTTGAAGAAGTTTGTAGGAAGGGTAATTTAAACAATGTAAACAGTTTATGCTGTGACTGTGTAAAAATTTACACTTAGGACAAAAGCAAGTCAAGGTCTTCTCTGTGTTGGAAAAATGCACAAGCATAATTTTTTGTTTTAAAGGTGCTGCATTTGTACGGTTGCAAACTTCTGTATAGGATATTTTGAAATGGAAACCAATGATCTGACTTTAATCTTCTATACTTTACAACCTTCAATTTGTATGTGCTTACACCTACACGTGTATATTTAAAATCTTACACAAAACATACAGTGAATTAATTCTGTGTTCTGCAGATGGGCTTTGGTATACTACTTTTTGATTAGTATTTTGATTTTGGTATACTGCTTTTTCCGATTATGATTCTAAATGTTTTGATTAATTCAGTGTCCTTATTAAATGTTTTCTTAACTTTCTATGATGGTGTTTATGTTCAAATGCATTTCATTTACTGCTTTTTTCTGTTGACTTGTGAGTTCCTTATTACCATTGGTATTACAAATAAAAAATAAGGTGTACATACTATTGCTTATGTTAATTGAAGGATATGAACTTATCAGATGATGGTAAAATGACTTAAATTTTCCTTTTAACATCTAGAATTTTTCACTGAAAAATGGTACCTCCAGATTTTGAGGTCTGTTTAGCATCTTAAATTTTAGATAAACATTTAAAGTTTAAATAGGTATTTTTTTGTTGATTCGAGGGTGAGGGAGAGAATACAGATAAATAACTACACGTTTTACTAAAATTGGAAATAAATCTATTTCACAGATTTCAATGGGGCAGATGCTACAAGATTTTGGAAAATTTCTGGGCATGTTTCTTCTTGTCTTGTTCTCATTCACAATTGGATTGACACAACTTTATGATAAAGGATTTACTGTAAATGAAGAAAAGGACTGTGCGGGTATTTTCTGTGAACAACAGAGCAATGACACATTCCATTCGTGAGTTTGATATCTATCAAATAGCTGTTTTGTTCTAGCCCTTAATTCCTAGTAATTAAAGAAAACTGAAATTTTTCACAGAACTTGAATGTACATTGAGTAGATCGCTTTTGGTGTTTGCTTTACCTAACCAGATTTGGTTTTTTTTCTTGTTTTTGTAGGTTTATTGGCACGTGTTTTGCTCTGTTCTGGTATATATTCTCCCTGGCACATGTAGCAATCTTTGTCACACGTTTCAGCTATGGTGAAGAATTACAGTCTTTTGTGGGTGCTGTTATTGTTGGTACCTACAATGTGGTGGTTGTGATAGTATTAACTAAACTCCTTGTGGCAATGCTTCATAAGAGTTTTCAGCTGATAGCAGTAAGTGGTTTCTGATTAGTTACCAATAATTGCTACCTGTATCTTTGGATTTTATACAAACTTCTTCCTACAATGTTTAGACTAATTTGCAGACCTCTATGGATGAGCTCTGACTCTAAGCTCACGAGGGGCATCTTTCCTTCAATTACAAAATTTTGTTTACTTTCATCCAAATAAAATGGGTACTTTACATGTTGAACATATGCAAGGCTTTAGCCCTCTGGGTACTGAAGACTTTCCTGATGCAATGGCTGTTCAAGATGCTATTCTTGGTAAGGTATGGTGCTTGAGCAATTAATAGGGGGTTTATACCTTCATAGCTGCATTTTGTATTTACACTAGAGTATATAGTGAAGAGATTAGGAGGGGTTTTAATTATTTAATATTAGTATATTAAAACAAATTTATTAAAATACTATACTATCAAAGTTAAATAATGATCAGTTTTTCAGGTATGAGAAAATAAAACTTATGAAGTAGCCTGTTAATATTTTTGCTCCTGATCTCTGTTAATGTTTCTGACGCTTTAGAATCATGAAGATAAGGAATGGAAGTTTGCTCGTGCCAAGCTTTGGCTTAGCTACTTTGATGACAAATGCACGCTACCTCCACCTTTCAATGTTATTCCCTCTCCGAAGACTATCTGTTATCTTTTCAACAGTCTTAGTAAATGGATCTGCTCTCACACATCAAGTGGCAAAGTGAAACGTCAGAACAGCCTAAAGGTAAGAAATCATTGGGAAAGCCATAGGCTCTGAAGCTGGAAGTGAATCAGCAAATTGCTGCATGAAGCAGCCTGTCACATTTGAGTGCTACTAAGATAAATAGGAACTATAGAATAATGTGTGTTGCATCCAAAATATAAATAAGTCTTACCTATTTCTGCTTAAGTAAGATTCTATTAACTTTCAGTTTGGGGAATTTCAACCCCCTTCCCTCCAACCCCAATCCCCCCAGAAACAGTCTGGAAAAAATGCCTTGATTGATTGAAAACTCACAGGAACCTCAAGGAAGTGTGTGCTAATCTCACAAATGGTGAGGTTAGAGTATTCTTTGGAGAAGGCAACTGGTTTTAAACATTACAGATGTGTCAAAATAAATAACCAAAAAGAATCACTGAAGCCTCTCGTTGCTGGGAGGTGGATTTTTTTGTGTTTGTGTTAAATAAATGTTTTTGTTCTACCCTGTAATTTTGCATACTGATTTTGCATCTTTTAGATGACAAAAATAGCATTAAACTAAATTCAAAGACTTTATGGAATGTGCACTGAAGCATTCAGGATTATGGAACTCTTAATTGCTCTTAGGACAATTACCAAGCCAGGTAGATTAAAAATTTTCAGTTTTGCTGGTGCAGCAGATTATAATTTAATTTAAATTTTATTGGCAATTTAGATGCATTGTATATTTGTGTGCATCAGGATGTATCTATAAAATAGCTTTGTTATTTTTTTCATATTTTTCCTCTGTATAATTGTATACGGGCTTTAGGGCTCAAAAAACACTTTTCCATAGTAAGTGCGTGATGTTTGTTTAAAGGAATGGAGAAATCTGAAGCAGAAGAGAGATGAGAATTATCAAAAGGTGATGTGTTGCTTAGTCCACCGTTACTTGACTTCCATGAGGCAGAAGATGCAAAGCACGGATCAGGCAACTGTGGAAAACCTAAACGAACTGAGGCAAGACTTGTCAAAATTCCGAAACGAAATGAGAGACCTGCTTGGCTTTCGAACTTCTAAATATGCTATGTTTTATCCAAGAAACTAAGGCCTAACTTTTAAATGAAAAGTGTGTAGATACCTATAGGTGAAAGTGTTTACCTAATTCTGTGGCCAGACCAAACAGAAGATTATTGCACAATAATACATTTGAAACTGCATTTGCATGAGTTGCAGCTAGATGCAGAAGTGGTGGAAATAAATGCAAAAACAGACATAGTGATTTTCTTAAGCTCTTAATCTTAGTGTGTATATAAAATTTGTATATAGGAATTTTTTTAATGTTCCTCAGGCTGTGGCTGTCGTATTAGAGCTTCATGACTAGCACAATGTGTTTATTTCTTCTATTTTTGCTGTTTGTTCCTTTTTAATACTTGTTTTTCAAGTTGTGGGAGAAGGTAGGCTTTTTAAAACAGAAATCCAGCCTGTGTTTATTTTTAATAGAAAAGTCAGATATAGAATAATGGGAAATTTCCAGCCCAGTTGGAAATTATGTTTGACTGTAGGTTACAGTGCACGCGAAGACCGTATGGCTCTGAAAGAGGCAGTTTTAGTGCCACGTTTCGTATGTTAACATTGACTGTGTACTAACATTTATAGAATACAGAAAATCAGATCATCAAGACTTCCCTGTTGTGGGAACATTGAAATTTTGAACTCAGAATAGACCAACCATTTCTTGAGTGTTTATCGTTATATGTAAGACAATCAATTCTTGCTTGGATTTTTCAGTGGTGCATTTTACTAACATGTTAAGATTGGGAACAAAATTTCAAAACTAACCTATGAACTTTTAATGTTTACTGTCTTGGTTTTTTAAAATCCAGATGATAAATTATTTGACTTATTAAAACCTGCGATTTAATAAAAATGAGGTGGAGAATGAAAGTGCTATTGTTTGCAGTGCTGAACAGTTCCTGTTAAATACTACACTTCTTTCTGTGAGAACATACACTGAATCTGGTCATTGGACAGATGTAGTTTAGGAGGGCCTGCTTTAGACAGGTTTTACGTACCCTACTTTTAAACTTGTCTGTCTTTTTTCCTTTTTTTTTTTACCACAATTGTTGCCAAGCTAAACATTTTTATTTTTGTGTCAGGAATACTAAGTTTTGTGAAAACATGTGATTTGACTTGGCTTACAATGGACAGTAAGGGCTTTGTGGATTTTCTGTGCTAGAGGGTCCTATATGGCTTTATATGCTTAAATACAATTTCAGTTGACAAATTGTAGTTGAGAAATGTGAGATTCCTGTATTTTTAATTAAAAAATAAGTATATTTGACAGCTAAAGGATTGATTGACAGTTTTACTGTTACAATGGTGCTTTTCTAAAATGGTCTTATGTCCAGAAGGCGCAGGTAGCCATGGTGGTCTTTGACTACAGTTGATTTTGGGAGGTTGATAGCGTGGAGGCTTACATGAATATTTACTTTTTTGAAGCAATTCTTATAAAACTCTTTCTTGTAAAGGTAATATATTTTCTGTACTATGAAATTATGTATATCTGAACTAGGGTTTAATACTCTGCTTCCAGTCCAGAGGGATTCTGATAAGTGTTGGCTTTTCATGTGAATAAGAAGCTAACCTCTTATGTTCAAAGCAAAGAGGATCACTGAATTTGTATTTGGACTCAGATCTCATGTTCAAATAATACACCAACATAAAAACTGTGTGCTGTGTATGTTACGTGTATCCAAGAAAGTAAGCAGACAAATAAAAGCTCTTTGAAAAATGTGGTTGTATTAGTATTAGTCATATTTGAAACACATTATATCAGGTATTACATTGAAAGTAATTTCTTTGTAATGTTAGTGAGTTTAAGGAAGGTAGCTGGTGTCAATGTGCTACTACATTTTTTCCTTGTGGACCCATCCTGTTAACTTCTAAGTTCATTTAAATGGCTTCATGCAGTGCCATGAAGTGATAGCCTGAGCAAGTTCCAAACAAGCTAGGCTGGATTCTAGATGCACTGTTAGCTGCTTGGCACTCTGCTCACACTGATAGTTCTGGGAAGCTGGGTGTGTTTATCTGTATGAAGCAGCATGTTAATGTAGCTATTTCTAATTGCTTTTGATATGTTAGGCAGAGTCACTCAGAGCTGGCTCGGTCATTGTCACATGGCACTGTGTTCTACTACAGTGTAGATATGTCCTTAGGAATAATTGTCTTACTTCAAGGCACTTTTGGAGGGTTTGAACTGGAACTGGGTGTTCCAGAGTGTTTATTTGTCCCTGAAATGCATACCTGTAAAGTGATAGGTACCAGAGAAAGAGGAGTTTGCTCTCTGTAGTACATTAGTTGTATGACACACTGCATCTCTGCCTTGTTTGAAAGCTGTTGCAGTCTTCCTATCTACTTGGCTACTGATCAATACAGAGTACTGTGTACTATTTAGTCAATCTTGTCTTACCATTTAGATTTTCCTAGTTCATGTGTATTGAACATGCTATTGCTTTCTCATTTGACAGTTTAATACTGGCTGTTCCAGAAGTCATCTGTGGATGTTTGGGCTCTGAGATCTCCCTTATGCATACTCACAGAACAGTTCTGGACATGCAGAGACAAAATTTTAGGCATCTGTGATACTTCTTTAAACGGGGATGTAAAAAAAAAAAAAAAATAGTTTGGAGAAGCTACAGTTTTCTTGGCTATAGAATTCAGAATTTCTTTGTTCAAAGTTTAGTACAAGTCATGAAAGGACCGAGTGGGTTTTTTTGAGACTACTGAAAAATGTTGATTTTTCTTCCCTTTGATGTTAACGTCTTTTGTCTTGGAGCTAACTTTGCCTTGATGAATGAAAAATGGAGATGGAAGTTTTCATGCTACCTCCATTTGCAGCAGAAAAGTGAAAACCCTTTGTTACTGAAAGTCAGCCTACTTTATGCGCTTGCTAAACTATGGTTTTGATTGTTATTTCTGTTGACATGATTTCAGAAATTGTATTGCTGTTACATAATTTTTATTCTATTTGGTTGCAGGTTGGATTTTAAATGTCTGAAGCGTACAGTCACTATATCTGCTTTTAAAAACATGTAATAGTTGTTACCTATGTTTTGTAACCAATTCTTACTTGAGAAAACTGGCACCGTTCTGTGTTTCTTTTAAGTCCTGGCTGCTGTTCCCTGTTGCAGGGTTACTGCTGTCAGTGCTTTGATTTGGGAAAGAAATGGGTCTAAAGGGAGTGTTGAGAAGAGCAGGCAGGAGCTTTTCCCTACCCACCATTTGGGAGACGAGGAGCAGGCTGCCAGACTCTTCTTGCCTCACGGAAAAAAGCTGCATGACAGAGGGTCATGTCATCATAAATAAAAATTTATTATTGTAGTTCAAGACAGTTCCAAGCATGATTTCCACACTGCTTCTCCCCAGGCTGCTGTTGAGAAATGCAGAGAGCACAGTGCATAAAACCCCTTAATCTGCATAGGAATCAATACTGGAAAATTAAAATTACCATTTAAAAATTTTAAAATTGCTTTGCAAACAAATACTGCTGTCGGTCCCACAGAGAAATGGTGTTTGGTTTAGTCAGTAAGGCAAAGGCCTGGCACCGTGTAAAGTGTGGTTACAGCACTGAGCTGTTTGATGTGAGCTGCCAGCACAGCCTTTTTGTGCCTTTGTGCCTCCCTCCTGCCTAGCTACCCGTTAAGGCTTCCGAACAGATGCTGCTGTGCTACTGGGCTGCGCTGTGGCAGTACCTCTTGGCGTTACCTATGAGAATCAGTAATTGAAGAAGAATGGTAATCCACACTCCACTCCTGAAGTAAGCAATGAGTGCTTCCAACAAGGACTCTCTGTTTCATTAGTTACCTGCCCATGCTTGCAGATTATCAAAAGAACTCTGGAGTGGTATTTATATACGAGGGAAACAAGTACTTGAAGAGATCTTAGATTCTGTTCCATCCATGACATTTTTATCAATATTCAAGTTCTACCCAGATTGAAAAGTGTTTCTTTCATATCTGCTTTTGACCAAAATGTTCTTCAATTTCTCAGTATTAATCTTTACCTATAATCTGATTCTATTCCTCCATCTTTGGTTATAGCCTTTCAGTTTCAGAGTAACACATATCTGCATACAACAGACAGACCTGACAAAGATCTCTTTAATGTTATAACATTGGCTAACTGCTTCCAGTCATGTTCCTTCCCTTATTCTCAAAACAGCTACTTGTTCAACATTTTGCCTGTAGGAATGAAATAAATTAGACAGATATGCTACTATTTATGCTACTGGTGCCAGACTGAGCATTGCTGTGTTGTCCGTCCTCTCCCAGTAGAGACAAAAATGTAAACTATTTTATGTGTACTTTACCGCCACTAAATTAATTCCTACATTCTTCCTTCCTAATTAACTTATGGAACTTAATAGTTACATTTACTAACTAGATTATAGTCATCAGTAGAGAAAAGTGTGGTGCTGTTTTACAGCTCTTTAACTCTTGGAAGAGGAAATCCAGTTCCTATTCAAATCAACAGTTCAATGGAAGGAAAATCAGGCCCTTAATCAGCAAGGAAGTGTAGTGTCAGTCATACTATGCAAGACCCAAACCATCAAAAGCATGTAAACGATCAAAAAAGAGTTTCTATGTTTAACCTGCCCCACTTTATACATAATGAATAACTAGTTGGTCTATGATTTAATCTTAAAATATTTTATTAAGCACAGATAATAATGCAGAAATCCATGTAGTAAAACAACTTTAGAGAAAAAAGCTAAGTTAAAATGAGTTACTATAAATATTGCACTTAGAATTCTTATTTTACATACACAACTCCTTAAAAAATTGGACAATTATAAATTAACAGCTTCCAAGTAATTGGAATTTGCTATGTTTGAGATCAGATGGCTGTGCTGCAAATCTTCGGCTTTAAGACTTGGGAGGATCTGTTCTCGTCTCGTAATGGATACCACTTTGTGCCAAGGTGTGCTTAGGTGGATGGGAGGGAAGAAAGGGTGAGCATTGTCTTAGTGTTGACAGTCAGTTGTATTTTCATGATTTATACTAAGTGAAAATTATTTTTCAAGAGAGATGATAGAATGCAGCTGCAGAGTTTAGTTTTAACATATTTTGGTTTTCAAGGAATTTAGGATCTTTGAGTTCTTAGTCTTAAAACTCATGACAAAACTGTTGGGAAAGACTTTGCCTCTACCATCGTCTTCTACCTGTCCCATGATGATGTAGTTTAATCCTACAAAGGAGAGCACAGAATTATGATATTACAAGATGGAAATTTGGGACATGATTTGATAAGTATAGCTCTTTGTCTGTGCTGTAGTCTCTATTTGTCTGCACTCTGTTACCAATGCCTTCTAACATTTTTTTCCTTCTTACCTAAAGCATGTACTCCCTTACCCATCTTTGCCATGCTTGTTAGGCAACAAAGTACAGTAATGTAAAAATCAAGTAGATGTACAGCTAAGTATCTCCTACATACATAATTAAATATATAGTAGATATTCATTAAATGTAGACTGTCAAATGAGTCTGAAAGACATTAGAA